TAGTCGATTAGTCATTGTTAATTTACAATATATTTTTCAGTTTTTGCACAAAATGCTACCAGGAACATTTTGCAAACATCTAACAATTTAACAAGGAGATTAAGATTACTTATACATATAGGATAATCAAGCCGATAATATTATGATGTGAATATTATAATATTAAGTACAAATACATGCAATCACAAAATCTACGTTTCTGACTACAATTTAAAATATACACTTAGTAGCTGGTCTCTTATTATTAAGGTATGCTCCCAAAATACGTATTTTCCATCTACAAACTTCAGTACTTTGCCCCAAAAAAATGTTTTTCTTTTATTTTATACATCATATTATAAATTGTTTTAAAACAATCAGAAAAATGTTGAAACACACATGATGTAATACAAAAGATTAGGAAAAGTACTTGAATATATTAATTGAAAAATAATTTTCTATTTCTAGAATTATATAATGTTTAACAAAATTCCAGTACACATTTCAGAAAATCTATATTTTTCTATATTTAACTACCAACATGGATGATCAGAACTAAAGTTAGAATGACAGTGCATCTTAGAGAACCGTAAAGCCTAGATGTTATTCTACAGATGGTACTGAAACGACACGTAACACCTGGAAAAATCTCTGTTTATAGCATGATGCAGGCAAATGCATAAAAATCCTCGCCTACTTTATCGAATTTCGATAAATTCTCTCCGACTTGGACGGAGCATCGCCCGTAAACAGTCGTCGACAATCATCCGAAAATATATGTCACCTTACCACAGCTATGTGATCCACGATATCGATAATAGTCATAATAGTAATACCGTCCGCGAAACTACAGGGTAATAATAAAATATGTGAAACATATTAACAAAGTGGTATCTGTGTATGAAACTACGACGAAAATGAAAATCACGAAATTGCGTTCCAGGCTTCGTTTCCGGGTTATTAATTGTTGAAATAGAACTCTGGTGCGAAGGGTTATAATTAGACTGCGGAAGTTTATGCAATTTCACATTCTTATAGATCAATTTACAGTACTAAAATTATGTCAGAGACTTGTATACTAATCTTCTCGAAAATTTGTGCTGTATTATTTTTTTTACACTCGCAGTTATAATAGATCCATAAAATCCAGTCTAGTAATGATTACTCGAACTTCTACCTGATACACGGATCGGTGACTTATTGTTAGTAAAATCAATGAAGAGAATGAACTGAAGTGATTGAAATCAACGCATGAAACAGTTGGGGCGCATTCCTTTCAAGTAGAATAACCCCTCGTATCAGACTAATTTTACGTTCATTTTGCCCATATGTTCAGGAATTAATTACTTGGCACCGGAGCATCGAACGCAATTTCGTGATTCTTGACATTCGTCTTAGTTTTGCATGTAAAATCCACCCTGTGAAAATGTTCCATATCTTTATTAACACCTAGTATATTTCCCGGAATATTTTCCGAACTCGCGACTCGCTATCCTTTTTCCATGCCTGTTGACGCATTCGAGCGATACGAAAAGCGTCCAATTAAAAAAGCAATATCGTTTCGCCGTCTGCTGCTAACAGACGCGTTTCCAGTTCGCTCGACTTGCCGCCGATACGCCACCGCCAACCGGAAACGAAGGATTTGAGTAAAATCCATGAATACGGGTCGAATGAGTCGAAACACGCTCCATCGGCGCGAGCGGGATTGTTTTAAATAGGTTTCGTGCAGACATTTATCGCGGATGGATAATCTGGAAATAAACGAAGAATTTGGTAGCATTTGGTGGCAGTTTTAAAGGAAAGCTAACAAGTTTACAGTTGACATGAATTCGCAAGTTAACGGTTAATCGGAGCGCATTTACTGTGAATACTGACTTGTTACTGGGGCCACTTTCAGAAAACGGGAGAAAAGATTGATCGTTTTCTTCAAATTGTAGTTTGTTTAATGAATTGAGATATTGACATGGAAATTTAAATATATATTACATGTTGTCCGTTAGAAATTACGAATTACAAATTACAAATTACAAGTTACAAATTACAAATTACAAATTACAAATTACAAATTACAAATTACAAATTACAAATTATAAATTACAAATTACAAATTACAAATATATACTGTTATTTGAAATACCAGACTATTTTACACAATGTGTTTCAAATGTTTACATAGACAATTTTATTAGTTCACTTCTGTGTGATATCATGGGAGACAATCAATATAGGTATGAAAGAACTTTGCAATCGATACATATGAATGTATATTATATATAAAAAAAATTCCTTTCTGCTAGAGCGGAAGTAGTTTCAATGTTTTCACATCGTTTACAATTTACAATACGATTACAATGTTATTATTTTCTATAGAACGTCAATTGGCGTGCTCCGTAGTGACCTGATATGTTAATATGTCCTTTTCTATAAATACATGCATGGTCTATTTGCAATGTCGAAGTTTCTCCATTACTGCTCCATTTCGATTGAAACTAAATTAATCACTTCGCTACATATTTTTAAAGTTTCTGTTTTATCGTAGTTTCTAATCTTAAATATACTATAAGTGTATAGACTCCGCAGTACATATGTGTATTTCTATTCGTATCATATTTTACATTTTCTTCAAACAACCCAAATGTCAATCTACAGGTTTTCGTGACATGTTAACGTTAGTATACGTAAATTATGACTGGTCTGTCTTCTGAACCGTAACTTTGAAAGGTAACATTATATTAACAGTTGTAGTATTTATAATTTTGGACAAAGAAACTAAACAATGGATGTTTTAAATTATACTGCTATAGTTTAATATGATACATTATCACAATAGTTTGTTAACAGAAAGTGCTATGTTTGTGCTAATGTTATAAATGAAGTAGCAATCTATAAATTTGTGCAGTTACTTTCGAATAATATCACACATAACTTCAGCAAACTGACAAACAAACGTTTAGGAAAATATCATTCTAAAGTTTATAATCTGTGTTGATGTCATTTATGAACCATGCTTCATCAAAAGAATTTAGAAAACGAAATTGATGTATGACCTAACCTAATAAATATGTATGCAGTAAATTATTATTATTAAAGAACGCTTCATCGAACGCTGTCCGATCACAATATAACAAATATTACAACAACTCCACCCTCTACATCTGGGATTTTCAGTGAAAACTAAGATTATATTAAATTGAATTGAATTTCCTGCCTATTATTTGGAATTTTGCCCATCATATGATAATTAAATCTTAAAATTTATATTGACTGTATGATATCACCTTTACAATTAGGTGTAATGGAAATACATTATATTATAACGAAACTGCTGATTTTGTGCATTTACAACAGAGACTTTCCAGAACAAAATAAGAACAGAGACGAACAGATATATATAAAAGATACTCATTTCATTTTCAGTCTGTTAAAACATGTAATAGTAAAAGAAACTTCTGTTTAATCTTTGTGTCTCAAAAGTGGTCTTAAAAATATTTACATTAACATTTTAATATACATGTTATAGTCTAACCCTGAAATTCGTCAATACCCGATCTAACTAGTCAAACTTAGTTGTAGCAAAGACTTTTCTTCGATACTAGCATTAACTACTTAACCCTCTGTATGTAAACTGAGTCGTTTGTGCACAAGCCAAATTTTTTACTATTTTAGGTTTTCGAAAAATCTGAAAAAATTCTAGGATATTTAACTAATTCTCCACTGCATTATATAATTGCTTGTTAAGTCAACTGATGAAAACTTTTTTCAATAAAAATAAAAATTTGGGTCGACGCTGGGGTCATCAGCGACCCATATTGCTTATGCAGGATTAATTCCAGAATTAACCAAATGTATTGGGCAATACCGTACAGTTATTACTTGTTCTGATTATTTTAAATCAGTGTTAAAGAAACACCCCTGGTAATGTTAAATCCGTTTTCAGGAAAAGCTAATTGTAACTGAGGGAAACTAGTAATAAGTGCGAGAAACGTAAAAAATCACACGAGACAAACATGAATGCTAGTTTGTGTTTCAACGTGTGATTCGCAACTATAAGCAAACTGATATGTAAGACAAAAACAAACGACAACATATCTCACCTTGAAGAGACAGTTTTAACTGACTGATGTCGATCAATATAATACCAGTTTTACTACCAAAAACATTCAATGTACAGTAATGTCTCGATGAGTGCGGGGTACTCGAGTCCATTACGGAGGACATTCATGGAAAGACAGAAAGATTTTCAGCCCCATATAAATTTGTGTTTTGCCCGAAGCCGAACCCCTACTTCGCTTCCGTTTACTTTATTTTGATTGGTTCCAAAAGGGGACTCCCCCAGTGGTGGGAATAACGCCGTTGTTCGTGTCGCATTCATCGAGGAATCACTGTATTTATTTAACATCTTCTCCAGTAATAACTAGTTTCAACTAACAACATACAGTTAATTGTAGATATAACTATTCAAAACTAGTATTACGGAGGAAGATTTGTTGTAACTAGTATCGACTTGGACGATAGGATTTTCACGACATTTATGTTTTAACAGATACACTTTTAAATATACACTCCGTAAGATTCACGTTGCACTCACCGTGGGCAAGCCAACAACGAAAATATTTAAATATAATCGAATATAAAGGGAAAATACGGCGCAAGAGACGTGGATACGATATCGACATAAAGACGAGGTTTCATGCATAATGGAGGTACCGTCGTTTATGAATGCTGTTCATTAGAGTGGTTTGATCTTTCAAACAGTCCTCAACCTTTTGGTAGATTATTTGCTTCTGTCGTACATCCAAGATGAAAGGATCTCGGAACGCGACGGCGGGTGCTCTGTAGAAAGCGAGGGTTAATTGTATGATCGGTTCTCCGGCGTGTACGATAGGATATCCCTATTCAGGGTGCCGATAGTCGAATTACTAGCGGCGCACAGACGACGCACGTGGTGATTTCAATACTATGCGAACTGTAATCCACCCAGAATACGATTTCAAGCGGCAATTTTCGATATAATTTTCCAGCGTATGCGGGATCCAACACTTCCAGAGAGCTGGGCACAGGCATTTGAATCTGTTTCAAAGTACATACTACGTCGTGGTCACCTTCTCGACAGTCGGTTACGGGGACTTCGTGCCGGACATCTGGCCCTCGCAGCTCTACATGGTCATCATGATATGCGTCGCTCTCATCGTTCTACCCACACAGGTATGCCACGAACTATTTTCAATTTCACTTTGTCGATTATTCGGTACGGTCTAATTTAGGTGACGATTACCTATACAGGGTGTAACAAAAGTGTTGTACGACCCGGAAATGGGGCACTCGGGGGATGAATTGAAATAAATTTTTCCTTAGCAACAATGTAATCTGAGGCTTCGTTACTGAGATATTAAAGAAAAACCCCGACCAATCAGAGCGCGAGCTTGCCAGCTGAGTTCCCGCGGTAACGCTGCCTACCAGTCGCAGCGCGTAGCCACCGTTAGCGCGGGAACTCGGCTGGAAAAGTCGCGCTCTGATTGATCGGGGTTTTTCGTTAATATCTCGGTAACGAAGCCTCAGATTACATTGTTGCTAAGGAAAAACTTGTTCCAATTCACCCCCCGAGTGCCCCATTTCCGGGTCGGACAACATTTTTGTCACACCCGGTATAGGGTGATTCTAGTAACTGAGTCGGAATGTAACTCTGTTTCAAGTGAAGTTAGGGTAAATATTTACAATATGGAAGCTACCTCCGTTTTCGATGATTTGTTAATATATGTTGTCAAGGTAATATACCTTGAGTAGTATTGTAAACATTTTAGTTGGGATTCGCCGTTTCTACAAAAGTTATTATCAACAAAATTTTAATACCGTACTTTAGTAGAATTGATAAGTAAATATGACCTATGACTTTGACCTTGGCATATTTTGTCAAGGTCACTCTCCCGAGTGACCTTCAGAAAGTTTCAGTTATCAAATGTTTATTGAAATATTATTAAGAGTAAAACGATACCTTTTTCATGAACTATCTCTAACCAATTCTGAATGACATTTTTTTTTTAGCTGTGTCTAACCAATTCTGAAGCATTATTGTGACCGGAGTTGATCAAAGACAGTTCAAGAAAAAAAATAATTTTTTTTGTCAATAACTCCTCCAAAACAATGGACGAGTTTCTACTTGCGGAAGTAGACTGAGAAGCTTGTCTATTATTTTGGGAGATGATATTTTGTTTTTATTAATTATTTTGAATAAAAAATATTGTGTTTTGGACTTCAGCGTATCGAAATCGGTAAGAAAGCCAAACTTCTAAATAATTATTTACGTAAACTTTTTTTGAAAATGACTTTTTTACAAAAGTGGACCCTTAACTAAAACCTTCACAACACTACTCAGCGTGATGGCCTTGACAACATATTGAAAAATCATCGAGATCGAAAGTGGCTCCCTTATTGTAAATATTTACCGAAGTTAGAGAAGAATCGTAGATGAAAATTTTCCATTCTTCCACAAGCTCTACCATTTGAATGTGTTACGTCCCGCGTTGCGGTCGTTACCTTATTTATAATTACAGGTTCTGGCTCTTTTAAGGTGCTAAAGCACGCCCTGTCTAAACTTATCAGTGAAGTACGCAGTTTGGAAAGGGAACGGGAGGGATAGGAAATCACTCTCGTTTATGATAATAACAAAGATATATTCTAACAATCCAATAAATAAAAGATACGAATAAGTCTTAACATACCAATCATGATGAGGATGAATGATAGATTCGCATCGCTTTTGGTTGGTTCGGTTGGGATTTCGATTGGGATCAGAAAAATGTGCAACGAAGAGAGGTCTGAGAATACAGGATGAAACAATTGTATTATTTTTTTTATAATCTACAATCGCACTTTCTTGTAAATGGAACACTACAATGTTTTTTTTCCATACATTGGTTCTCGTATCATTTTGCGCGTAAAAGGTACAAGGTAAGGTCACTGAAAACAGAATACTTTGCAATTACTAAAATTTAGACTAGGATACATTCAATTGACAATGTAGAAATCTACTTTTAAGAAATGTTATTTCTGGAAATGGCAGAAAAAGGTACATACTAAATTTCTAAAAAAGTGTATTGCATTAATTTATTGTCAATAAATTTTGTATGAAGCAAATATCAACACTGGGCGAATACTTTCGTATACGTTTCTTATTACTTCCACTGATACCAATACTTTTTAAAATAAATTATACTTCAACATTATAAAGGAACATTATCCACGGAAGAAAGTTTAATAATCTAACCATAAGATCTACACTTTTGAACAATAATTCCCCATTCTGTTTTACTACAATTTTATTTATTTATTTCTTATGATGCATGATATATGTATAGTTTTTTTTATCTAAAACCTCCCCATCTAAGTAAAGTTTTTTCAAGTCCCAAGTATGTGAATTCATGTACTGATTCCCTTCCTATAATGTTCCAGAAGTTTTTATCTTGCAACTTTATATGCACACAAATTTATTCCTTTAATTTCGTAAGAGATTCAAATTCACATTTCACTTTTCACCAGTTTATCAATATCAGTTCTTTGAAGTGAATGTTAACGGAACTTAACGATCTTTTTCTGCAATATCTAATACAATAATTCACCAAAGAAACACCTTCCAAATGAGAGGAGAGACTTTTGCTTTCCGCTATTCGCGGCTTAGAGAACATTTATCGCCCTCGGAATTGCTAATCATATAAAACTTTTCTCTCATACTTAACCACAACTCTATCGTGTGGAATGACGACTGGGTTTCTTGGTGATTATAAACCTGATATCGATCCTGTTTTAGCCGTAGTTTTACACAAAAATTGGCTACATTTTCATGATCATAAATAAGTACCGTTAAGAAAGCAAATCTAAATACGGTACCGCAGCTTGCAGCCAACCTAAATGATTTACAATATTGCAGATTAATACTAATCCACACGACAGAACGTAATAAACTGGCATTTTACATTCTTTACAAAGTTAACGACCCTACTGAAAATTACAATCATTCCCTCTAACATTGTTCTTCGTGTTGACTGCGGTGCACAATGCTGGAATTGTTTGCTTCCTATTATGTGGTATCACAGTACCGTGATGTAATAAACGGCTTTAATAAAAGCGAAAATGAAGATGCTCCTTCTTCTTATATTTTACAATCACTTTAAACACGGTAATGAATATTAATTTAATGTTTCAAGTAATTGCAATTGAATAATATGAATTATCGATTATCATATGATTCCTTTTTATTATACACGGTTTACCTTAAAAGATTCCAAAGTGAAAATAAATCAGCACTTTTCTCCAAGACAATCATATTCCTCGCTTTATATTACCAGAAATAAGATAGTTCTTGTACACTGTGTATAATAAATTTCTGTCAGAATTTGTTCTTGACAAAAACTGTGATAGGAAACCAATTCAGGTGAATAAAATGGATAAATAAACTATGCAATGCTTTATGAAATCAAGAATATCTAAAAGTTGATAATTAATCGATCCAAATATTTCGACTATCACGTTTTATGTCAACTCAAAGCTGTATCAGAAATGTTTCTATAGTTTGTACAATTGTTACGTACACTGTATTCCTCCAAAAGGAAGCTACTTTTAATCATTGAGAATATAAATCATCAATACCTTATGAAAAAATTTTATTTTAATTTTCCTTGAATAGAAACAGTATTTGCACACTCAAATGCTTTACATTAGCTGTACCAGTAAGTAGTCCACTATTTTTTGTGAAATTCTGTATTTATTTTGAAATAATTCAAAACCCTTTGCTACATTGACAGTATTCAATATTCCGTTCCATTATTTTCCGCCATTTTGACTAAACAAAATATCGGAGATCTATACTAAATTTACACTACATCGCCAATACATATGTATAACCATAGTGAATTACTTATTGGCACACCTAATAATACTTTTAATAGTACATTGTATTTAGAACAAAATGCACAATGTGAAATAGTAAAAAAATGTATTACTTGAAAGCTTATTATAATTAAAACACAGTAAGATAATGGTAATTTTTCTAATATAACTAATTCACGAATCTATGAAATTATGTTGAAAGACAAGGCGTATGCCAATATTTTCTTTTCCCACTATACAGGCTGTTAAGAAAAATGTGGGACACTTTCATAGGGTGGATTCTATGTAAATGCTAAATTAAGACGAAAATAAAGAATGACGAAATTACCTTAGACACTTCGTTTTTGAGTTATTAATTTCTGAATACACGGCCAAAATATGCGTGAAATTAGTCTCGCTTGATGAATTATATTACTTGAACAATAGATTCCCAGCTGATACAAATGCTTGATCGATAATCTAGTGAAACTAATGAATGAAATAAATGAAACCTACTCGTAAAACAATTGAGGAGTTCGCCTCTCAAGTAGAATAACCCGTCGCATCAGGCGTATTTTACGCTTATTTTTCCCACATGTTCAACAATTAATAAGTCGTAACCGAAGCCTTGAACACAATTTCGTAATTCTTGATTTTCATCTTAGTTTGGAATCTCGAATCCACCCGGTAAAAGTGTCCCACATTTTTATTGACACCCTGTATATTTGGAGACTTTTATGACAAACCGTACAATTAATCATCTACATACAAAATCCGATTTCACAGAAAATTTCACGACTATCAATGTAAATCCCTGATAAAGCACCAGTCGAGACCTCTTTGGTTGGAACCTTAATTAATACCCATCACTGACAAACGCGTAATTAAATTGTCCGATAACACGGAATCGTAGCCCAAGTACGGTCTCCTACTTGTTGCCCCGAGGATCATAGACCAATGACGGGGGGTACGGTGCCTAAGGCCAGCCGTCAGTCGCCAATAATGGTAGCGATGACAGTGATAACCGTGCAATTCATCTGTCAGAACTGTCAGTCGCACGTGTCACGCGAATATTCCCGGCCAAACGGTCGGGTCCTTGGGACGTACACCGGATGTTCGTAAACTGTTCAGCCAAACTTCCGATATTGGCTGAACCAGTTTCGCCACCCTTCTTCATTTTTTTTTGTTCTGTTCCGTCCAAGAAACTGAGGGATATCGATGGTATTTCTGTGGCAGTTCGAGCAGCTGGCCTTCACGTGGATGGAAAGGCAGAAGCTGGGCGGCTCGTATTCGTCGCATCGGGCGCAGAGCGAGAAACACGTTGTAGTCTGTAGCACGACGCTGCAAGCGGACACCATCATGGACTTCTTGAATGAGTTCTACGCCCATCCGTTGTTACAGGTATGTGGCGTCCGTTGTTGGAGGCAAATTTGACTTGATAAATAGAATTTGCCACTTTTTCTTGCTGTCATATAGGGTGTTATGCAACTATGTTTACAACCGGGTAGAGGATGATTCTACGTGAAGAAGTAAGTCGAAAATGTGGAATACAATTTTTTCATTTGAAACTTTATTCTTGAGAAAATCGTCTTTCAAAATTTGCCGAGTAAGCGTGCAATTGAGTAGGATTTTGCTGGTGCGTCTGTTCATTGCACTCCGTTTTTACTTACTACTATACGAATATAGTAGTCATTCGTTTATTGCATATTTCGGGGCTGTAGAGCAGTGATGGGCAACTCAGCGCCCGCCAAACTCACTAGCGGTCAACACCGTGCAGCATGCGGGCATATGGCAGTGGCGGGTGAAATGTGTGAATGAGAACACGTATCTATCATTTTCTTCACACACAAATATGTCGTGAATCACGGCTCATGACTCGTGATGTGTCCTGCTTCGCAATCCCTCCACAGGAATTAAATACGACGCCGTATCGACCTGTTTTACGAAAAGTAGCACATTTCATTTGTCTTACGAAGACTAACACTTCAGACTTGCTGGCCACGAAAAAGCAACATGCTTTGATTTTGGTCTCGAAAAGTAGCACGTTTTACAAATGAATTTTCACACTCGATTGCTTCAAATGCGAAGTCTCAAATAAAAAAATGTTATTCCGTATTTTCGACTTTTTTTTTCACGTAGAATCAGCCCCTAACTGGTTGTATCACCAGTTACGGGACACTTTGTATACAGGATGGTCCACGTAACTTGTTCACTCCGAATAACTTCTAAAGTATGAAAATATTTTTTATAGGAAAATTGTATGGTTTGCCGAGATACATTATGTAATGTATTTGTTTTTTTTTGGTAAGCAGAATGGTTTTGAGGATTTGAAGATCAACTTGGTTTTTTTTAATGGAATGCTATATTTTTTATGCCAAAATATCGAAGAGGGTTAAAGTGTGAGTAAAAAAGTACTGACCTTTATTAGCCGTAAACCTAATAATTAACGAGTAGTTTCACTTTGTTTCTTGAACATGATCTGTGCGCAATATGAAGTTGGAGATTCAATATCAGCAAAGACTTCCGTAAGACCGCGGAGTTTACGTGACAATGTTTATCAACATGACCGATGATGCGTATGGAATCGTAATCACCTATTCTGTCTGTGATTCAGTATTGAAATTATCATGAGTGTCTATACGTGACTATTTCAGTAAGATGAAAGCAAAAATGAAATTTAGTAATTGTGAAAAAGTGCTATAACAAGAACTATAGCTATGTATGACAAAATTTATCCTGAACGAAATTAACCATGTCGATTGATATTCGAGAAACTTTGTACATCGCTTCGAAAAAGCGGAAGTTTTAACGTTACCAAACGTAACGTAATCAAAACTGCTACTTCTGATGAAAATACTATTGCGGTCCTAGCAGCGGTAACAGAAAATCCTCATATCGGTACAGACAGATTTCATGAGGTTCTGGTATTAGCAAAAGAAGTGTGCTTCGCATTTTTCAAAATGAAAAATATCATCCATATCACCTAGTACTTCATCAGAAATTGCACGGATCAGATTATGAAAACCACGTTTGGTTTTGCCAGTGGTTTTTGCATCAAATGCACAAAGACGATCTTTTTTTACAAAAAGTGTTATTTACCGACGAAGCGACATTTATTAACCGCGGGCAAATTAATTTGAATAACATGCACTGGATAAGAGAAGTTCACCATCAACGTCAATGGGGCGTTAATGTGTTGTGTCGCATACTCGGCAATCAATTAATTGGACCATATTCTATTAATAAACGATTAACGGCACAAAAATATTCCAATGTATTACGTGATATTTTACCAACTTTATTAGAAAATGTATCGTTAAATATCCGCACAGACATATGGTACCAACAAGGATGGTTGTCCCAGACATTATGCACATGTAGCAAGGCAAGTGCTTGACAGAAAATTCCCCAATCGATGGATCGGTCGTGGTGGAGAATTTCTGTGGCAACCACGTACACCAGATCTAACACCGCTAAACTACTTTCTATGGGATACATTAAAACATATGGTTTATCGTGAACCAACAATAACATCAAAGAATATGAAGTTTCTTCGTTGATTAATAGGTTACATCAGTGTATTAATGTAAATGGACAACATTTCGAACACCTACGTTAGTGAATGGAAGAAGTCTTACGGAAATCGTTGCTGATATTAAATCTTCACCTTGATATTACGCGCAGACCATTTTCAAGAAACAAAGTGAAATTATTCGTTAATTATTAAGGTTTACGGTTAATAACGGTTAGTACTTTTTTACTCAAAATTTAACGTAATAAAATAACGTAAAAAAATGTAGCGTTCCATTTAAGAAAACGAAGTTGATCTTCAAATCTCCGAAACGCCTTCATTTATGAAAAAAATATATGCATTACATTATGTATCCCTCCAAAGCATACAACTTATCTATAAAGAATTTGTTCATACAATGAATACTTTAGAAGTTATTCAGTGTGAACAAGTTGCGTGGATCACCCACTATATTGAACACTTGGGTTTTCACGTATTTTCAGAAACTCTCTCTATATTAGTATAAGATTAAAAATTGTACACTATATTTATAAATGTATAAAATTTTTAATTATATTCAGGATTATTACGTGGTATTGCTGTCGCCAATGGAACTAGATACTACAATGCGAATGATTTTGCAGGTGCCCATCTGGGCACAAAGGGTAATTTATATTCAAGGCTCGTGTCTCAAAGACAACGATCTTACCAGGGCCAGGATGAACGAGGCAGAAGCTTGCTTCGTTCTAGCAGCGAGGAATTACGCGGACAAAACCGCCGCTGACGAACACACGATACTTAGGTCAGTTAAGTAAAACACAATTTTCTTGTCCTTACTTTAGAAACGTTAAGTCATCCCAGCAGTTTTTGCCACAATGAAGTTTGGTAGAATCAAATTCGTATTCGAACTACAATTCGTGCGTTTGGTAAAATCACCAAAGAGCTTTCATACTTCTGATTTGCAACCTACTAATAAAATTTTGATAATATTTCTAACATTGAGAAGAATAAATTAATAAATTAGAACAATTGGCTAAAGTGACAGGTAATGAAATATTCCAAATTCCTGAATGGAGAGTAATTTCTTAACATGATAGTGTTGATCTCCATTCTAAATGGTATGAAAGCTAACTTTAAAGAAGGACATGAAGTTAAGTATTACAACTTAAAATAAGTAAAGGACGACAGGAGAGAGAGAGAAACAGAGAGAAAAAGATAAACGGAAAGTAGCGGCGAGTTAGATTAAGATAGTATTAAAAATAAGGAGTAAGATAATATGTACAGTTTAGGTAAGGACCGGAAGTGAGTTTGTAACCCCACTGAGAATCAATAAACTTATCTATCTATGTATCTACAAACTTAAAATAATTAGTGTCCTGTTCAGAAAAATATTTGTTTTCATTTTCATTAGTTCAAGATTTACAACAGTTTTTATATAAACATTTTTTTTTAGTGGCAAGGATATAATAAGCACCAGGCAACAATATTTTCATGAATAATGAAGGTTTTTCCAATTGTTTATTAAAGAGCGGATGATTCTACGTATAAAATCAAATCGAATATGTGAAAAAAATTTTTTTTGTATAAGATTCCTTTTCACGAAAATCAACTTTGAAATTCTGTTAGATACACGTCTAATTGAATAAGTCTTAGTTAAATACACCTTCTCATTACTCACCGTTTCTGCTTACTGTAATAATCAGGAATACATGCGTGCCTGATAAATTTTCTCGGAAATAAGCTCGATATAAAAAAATTTCGGTTTGTATTTTCGATTTGTTTTTACCAAAAAAAAATAATAAGTCGTCGTAGTTCAGTTATATTGCAAGTATTATTGCCGTCTCTATCATTTCAAAACGCATTGGAAAATGAAACAATCCACTGTAAACTATTTTAACCCTCCAATTTCCATAGCTCAAATAGTGATCCAATATGGATAGTTTTAATTTCTATCTCTATTTATATAAATAAATTGTTCCAAAAATTTTATCAACAGAAATATTAAAATAGATTCTAAAGTGCCCACCAGTGTGCATTAGATCCTGTAAGCTTTCGATTTCCTTATGTCACAGGCCAAATAAAAGGCGTCAGTAGGTGTCTGTGAGAATTAAAGGGTTAAGATATAAAAAGAGTATGCAGTGATAATTATGGGCAGAAAGACAGTGAACATTATGAACGATATCTTATAAATAATTTCTGTTATCACTGTTTTCAGGTCGTGGGCAGTGAAAGACTTCGCACCAAACGTTCCTCAGTACGTTCAAATCTTCCGTCCGGAAAACAAACTTCACGTGAAGTTTGCTGAGCACGTTGTGTGTGAAGACGAGTTCAAGTACGCCCTTTTGGCAAACAACTGTACGTGTCCTGGCGCGTCGACCTTAGTTACGCTCCTGTTGCACACTTCCAGAGGACAGTGAGTTGAACGAACAACTTTTTAACTGAAAAAAAAAGACAAAAGCAGACTAATTACATTGTACACCACCGTGGCGAAGTGTTGAGTAGAAATGCCTATAAAGAGGGAAACTATTTCTTCCTTTCTTTCAGGGAAGGACAACAATCGCAGGAAGAATGGCACCGGTTGTACGGTAAATGCTCCGGGAACGAGATTTATCACATTATACTAGGGGACTCGCGGTTTTTCGGTGAATATGAAGGTAAATCCTTCACCTACGCGTCCTTCCACAGTCACCGGAAATATGGGGTTGCGCTGGTCGCGGTCAGGCCAGCGGAACTTCCGGAGTTCTACGAAGACACGATCCTCTTGAATCCTGGTAACGTCGTTTTACCATACTATTACCATTTCAAAATTCAATTTCATTTAGAAATAGTGTAACTTTTTAAAAAACCTTATAATATTATATTCGCTGTATAGTGAGCAATGAAAATATTCAAATTATACAATAAAATACGATTCTGTGCATAGCTTATTTCAAGAAATTTTCTACAATTTACGTGAACTACAATTTAATTTCTTTATGAATTTATATATATGTAGTTTTGAAGCATCTGTCAATACAGTGACAATTGTTATGGCTCTATAGTAATGTGTTGTAAAGATTTTTTATAATAAAACTTTCATTATTTCGTCGTACGAAAATTTTCGTTAGAAATTTCATTCACTTTAGCTACAGATTTTAACGAAGTAAACAAATTTTAGTAATTCGACAATTTAATTACGATATTTATCAAAAACTGGAAAAATACTCTTTAATTAGATTTTAATACCCACTGGTCTTATCTTCAAGCTGTGTTGGACTATGCTTGTGTGAACTGTGAAGATTATTCATGAAGCGAGTGGAGTTTCTAATTGAATATCCATTTTGGAATTTTTAAGAGGCCATACCGAATAAGTTAATCAAAATGATTTCTGTCCTATTAAATAATCGACGCGTGTATTATACTTTAGCTTTTATAGATTTCGATTTAAACTAAAGCATTTAATGTGAAACTTTGCAATAGTTATTGAACTACTTATTCAATGTGAATATTTATTTAAAAATTAAATATAACATTCAGGAAATATTATATTATAGGAATAATATTATCTTCCAGTTTCATATATTCGTTTAAGATCAATATGAAAGGTAGTGAGGTATTATCTATTTTCCATTCTTCTAGTAAAAATGATTATAAAAATGTTTCTAAAATTAGTAACATTAAAAGCACTGCACATAAGACGGTACGAATTTTCCGGACGACCTAATAGTTTATATAACGATCAAACGACATATAAGGGTGTTTCTGTAACCCTTCCACGCAAAATTATGAGCATGATATACGATATGGCATATCTTGTTATTTTGAAGTCGACAATATTAATATCAAACCAATCCATCTTTTTCATTTTTTCTCTTTCTTATTTATTTTCGGAAGGAATACTTGAATTTCTCAAAACGTTGAGATTAACACTGGGAGTTAAAGGGTCAATCCGATTTTACCTATAAACCAAGTTCAATTGAAAGAATAGTAACGCAACAACTTATTGAACAGTGCACGAAGATTAAATACGGTTGCCCGTTAACTTACATTCAAAGGCGACAATGCATAATACCATCAATTCGTTAACACCCTGAAAAATCTTCTTCACAAATGATCGTTCTGTTTCACCGTTCCATTTAGGCCCGCGACACATAATGAAGAAAACAGACACCTGTTATTACATGAGCATCACGAAGGAGGAAAATTCGGCGTTCGTGGTGGCTAACAACCAGGCGACAGTCGCGGAGGGTGCTCAGGTGGTGTTAGAAATGAAAACGGACGGGACGGGGAACGCAAACACCGGCTCGACTGGGAACACGACCAGCAACAGCAACGCGATGAATTCCGGTACCAGCGCCGGTACCACGACCACGACCACAACGATCTCGACGAGCTGCACGATCGCCATCGGTGATGGGAACGGTACAGCAAACAAGCCCGTTGCAAACGAGCACCGTCGCTATTCCAACAGTTGTAACAATGCGCTGAACGATACAGCTTGCTGCAGACAGGAGACGATCTGCACGGGGCCCCGTGGACATAACGTGCACGGTGCACAGGCACACAGGGCCCCACAGGTCATATTGCAGGTCCTCCCTAGCACGCCCACACCACTCGAACACCACAACATACTCGCATCCGATGTCCACCGTGAGTGTCGCATGCGCTTGCTTCCGTTTTATTTCTTTATCCTTGCTCTACTAAACCGTTTTTCATTTTTTTATTATTACTCGTACATGTGCGTTCCCTGTCGTTTCCTGTGTGGATACAATTAGCTATTATGCTGGAATTCGTGATGATGATATTTCGAATAGGGTACATGTTCCAATTACTGCCAGTGTCCCTAATACTGCCACATTATTTATTTTATTTAATAAAAACGTAAAGTATAGAGTACAGTGTACAAAAAAATGTTATCGTTAAATTCAAACTTTGATTTACATAAAGACAAAGTAATGATTGTACTTCTATGTAGGGTGGATCACCAGTAAATGGACGATGTATACATATACAAACCGGTAAATTAAGGTGTTATGCCTACCTATAAATTTTGAAAATATCGATTTTTGGGGTTTTAATAGTTTCTTACAGTATATCATTTTAGAAATGTTGTGGGAAAATTTGAAGTTCATACGACCAAAATTGGCTGAGTTACGCCCGTTTAAAGTACACGACCTTAGAAGTTTCGGAGCAGATATAAAGTGGTAGAATTCCTTTCGAGGGGTGCGTGAGTCATGAATACTGTGCCCCATTGCAATTTATGGTTGTGTTAGTAAATACACAAAGCTATATGAAGCCGTAATACTAAGAATAACTATATATACAAAATTTGCATTGATTCGGTTGTAAACCTGACTTGAAACTTTAAACGTGTTTTTCTCAAAACTACATTTTCAAAATCGGTGACCAAAATATCTCGAGAACCGCTGCACCGAACTGATTCAGCTTTGGTGGACTCATTCTATACATAAACGTCTAGTGCCTGATCATGGCTTTTTGTATTTCATTGCGTAGTTTTTATTTTATAGTTCGAAATCGAACGATTTTTTTGCGAAAATCGATACTTCGATTTTGAACAGCCGCCACTTTGTGGTAAATTAATTTTTCAGGATAATGAACGATCGGGTACTAGATAATTTAATATATTAACTAAATTTGTTCGGATTTTTTATTTTAGATAAACGAACTCGAAGTTACAGTGGTCACTGCAAAACGCCTAAAATAAAAACGCCGCCGGGAAATCGCTGATATTTCCCCTATTTATTCATATTTTGCATTGAAGAAATTATTATAAGCACTGCAAAATGTACACTTTCAAATACAATGACGTATGTTTAAATAAGTATCCAAGTTTTTTAAAAATAAATTCAGGATGTTCGTGTCTTTTTGCGAGCTCGCAAGTAGGCATAACCCCTTAAGTTATTCAAATAAGGAAATGATTGCATATTGATTTTTTCAATTCCTTGTTTCATATTCAAACAATTTTGACGCCACTGCTTAAAAATGTTAATTTACTTAATATTGTTCATTGACTAGTGCAATCTGTATTTTCTGTTTAACGTAATTAATTACATTTTTCCCATTTCGTAAATTGAAATCTATACGTTATAAAAATGTATAGATATTCAGAAGTCTAATTTTCATATGCCAAATATTCATTATTATTAGTATCATTTCAAATTCGACTTTGATAGTTATCAGGTCTCTTAAGTGTTCATTCATTGGCCCTACCTGGTATTTAAAAATTAATGTTGAAAAAGGATAGTGCAATTTGAGCGTCAGAACCGCGACTACATAAGTAGGAAGTGATGGAGGAATCATATTAAAGAAAGAGCCGTGATTTTATTATACATCTTATATTTATAGTAAAAAATGATTTGTTAAAGTAGGTACATAAGAATTACTTTAATTTTTGAGGTGACAGTTATAGGGACACTGGAATTATTCGCAGATTTCAAGTAATTGTTAATTAAGTCTTCATATTTAATGTATGAAAACATTATATTTTAATGAAAGAGATGTTAAATAATATTATGTTCCAAACTGAGACGATTTTTAGGTTAAACAACACGTAAAATGATTAAATAAAGTTATGCTACAATCTTAAGGTGGCAGTAATTGGGACATCTACCTTGTAGCTCATTATTTGCGTAATACAGATGGTGGTGATCCGGTGGAGCTATTTTGGATACAAATTTTTCACGTTTGTAACTGAATTGCTAGGTTCCTTCGAAGTATACAGGTCGCGACGGTAGCGCTGATATTAACTCGTACGAATTGTTTCCTCGCGTAAATACAAATTGAAGATCGTGGAATAAATTTTGTTTCGAGTGAAGCTTCATTTTCAAGAAAATTGATCTTGAAGTTACGTACTATTACTGCTTACGATAAACATTGATTATTTATTATATCGACAAATGACCTAGCAGGGGTTCAAGCGTATGTACTCTGAACGAATTCCCAAATTTCATTTTCCCCATTTAACGAAACTATCTATTGGCAATTTTCCGAAATTTAAACGTCATATACGAAAAATATTATTCCATATTTTCGATTTACGTTTCCTCAAGGAATTAACTCTTATGGTTACATTTGTTCTTCCAATTGGTTATTAAATTCCACTATTTCGACTGCAATGCTACGTGTCCACGTGAAATTGATTTTCACGATTTATTATATTCTGCGAGTTATATTCCTGAGAGTAGAAGCGACAGATATTCGAGAGGAAGAGTTTGCCTCATGTCAGTGTCTACTAAGAAATTCTGCTCTCGAGAGTAACACTCACAAATGGATTCGTAACATGATTAAGGGATGTACATGGTTTACTTATTCGTGTAATATGTTGCGTGCAAAATACAGTTCTAGCTTATATCATTGCAAAAGTTCGCGCGTCCTTCAGTGCCGCCAAATTTAGTAGTTAATGTTTTTGTTTGTTATTAAGAAGTTATAATAATGAAAACTTTGCTTATACAAATTTAAGTGTAAATTGGTATTTGTGTGGAAAAGCTATAACTACTAACTTATGACACTTTCATTACTAAATTATTTACTACTTATTGCTTCACATACAAATATTATTCTTTGTTATGACTAAGTGATGTGCTGTAGCATGGCCTGGTCTTTCTCTTGCAAACTGTTAAGTATAGTTGTGATGCTATTGTTGGAAAATATGCATGGTCGTTGTTTTATTTCTTACGTATTTTTCTATTGAAAGTTGCTTAGCTACGATTGACCAAAATTTTAATACACATTGCATAGCCCATTTATTCTTACATTGCAAAACACGGTGGATATCCGAGCTTGAAGAATATGGTACGAAATTCTAATTAAGATAGAATTAAGTGTTTTGAGAAATAGGAACGTGAAAAAACCTTCATACTTATACCAGATTACATACTAAACTATAATTCGCTTTTTTGCAAAGAAAGTGTCTTCGTTTTCTTGTGATAATAAATCAGTTGATATTGACTGTTAATGAATGGGTTAAAGCAATAGACGCGAAGTAGTTAAGTTTGTACAGTTACCGAAGAAAACGTCTAAGTTTACATTCATTTCCAGTAGATAAAATACGTGAAGTAGACATTCAGAAAGTTTTTCGTTACCTTTAGTTTGTTTTTGAAACCCTAGAAAATTCTAATTATGTATTGCACTAGAACATAGTATAGTACAGTAGACATTCGATTCCCGCACGAGTCGGGGCTGTAAAGGGCTAAATTTCCAGGAACCGTGCAGGAATCGGTGACCAATTACCCGAGCGCTTTCCCCACCATTCCGCCATTCAGTTGTGCGACGCAGCTATACATATATAGGATGGGCTGGATTTTATACGCACTTTACGGTTATGTTAATTATCTCCGTTATTTTTAGAGATATCAGAAAAGTGTATTCACAGAAGTTTTTTTTAGTATGGAGTGGCCTATTACATAGCAGTAACAGTTTTTTCGTAGGTGAAGGATCTTCTGAGTTTTTAAAGTTAATTATGTCCTTTTATTAATGATATTGAAATACTATGGAATAAAAATACTTTCTTTTTACATAAATCGATTCTTCTAAACATGCTGCGCAATAATGTATAGTAGTATTATGAGAAAGTTAATAATTCGTGACATATTTTAGTGGCAAATGTGTAGCTTGGTTAGCATCTTTTATCCATTACGTGTGATCCGTGAAGCAAGAAGCACTAAAATTACCACTAATATTCATTTCACCAATAAAAACATTGCAACATTTTATTAAAACAGTATTATATACATTTCGTTTTCTGTGATGAGGTATGCGAGTTAAACGCGACACCGTATGCGTTCCGGTCTGGGCGTGATGGGCGACAGAGTAGGGTACACGTGAGTGAGAAATACATATGTGTGAAAAGAGGCGTGTCTTCCGTGCAGATAACGGTAGTGCGGGAATTGAATGTCTACTGTACTTTAAACAATATTTTTTAATATTATTATTCTTCAGCATCCCTTGTAGTAATAATATTATTATGATAGATATTTATATTCCAAAAATGATCAGTAGAAATAATTAGTTTATAGAAGTACGTCTCGTCAAGGATTTAAAAAATTGTTCGTATATACTGTTACAATTACGTATTAAATAGGAAATAGATAACATAGATACAATTTATTATGTATTATAAAAATACAAACATGAGAATATTTGGTTTTTAAAAGAAACTTTTTTTCATGTGTGATACATTGTATTTGTGACATGTTATTATAAACAATTGTATTAACATTCGGATGAAAACTGTTCCGTAATTGTTCATAACAAATTATAACTTTTATAGCAACGTATTTAGATCCCGGAGGATTCGGAGATTCACGGCAGTGTCTGAAAGATGGTGGCTCTACACCGCAGACACCGATCACAGGAAATCATTTGGACGTTCCACGATCTCTCGATCCAAATCCCAATCTCCTTAGTCCTGAAATTCTTATGCAAAGAAGAGGTAAGTCAAACAAAATATATCATTTACATTAATAAACATTATAAGTATAATTCAATTATAGATAATTCGAATAAATAAATGTCAATAATTAAAGACATGGTATACATTACAAAAATACAAACACGCGAAGATACACAATACAAGAATATTAACTACCTTTTGCTACATCAGTAAGACCAAAATGTACAATTTCCCAGATAACTTTCTATTAATGATACTTAACTATCATCATACTATTAATCAATATTGATTACATAGAAAGAATTATGGTCACCTTCACATGAAATTTTAGTAATAATAATAAAACTGTAATAATACAATTTCAAATTTACTAATAATAACTGAATTAATAATAATTAAATTAATAATAATACTGTAATAGTATAAATTAGCCTTTATCTTAATAAAGCCATCTGTAATTAGTATTAATCATTTTCAAGGCGCATTTCTAGTTATCTGAATATTATACATATGTAAGTTATGTTGGCATATTTAAATAAATATTTCCACTTAACCGCTTCAGGAAGCAGGAGACCCAGCATACTGCCTGTGCCGGACATGTTAACGAGTTCGACTTTGCATCTTCCTGGCCAAGAATCGTTAGACCACGAAGGCGATGAGTCTGAAGACGAAATGGACGACGACGTACCATGGAGATCACCTAGTGAAAAGATAGCGTGAGTATTCAACGACTAATACTTTCATCGTCACTCTTCATACCATGTTACGTCCAAGGTCACAACCAAGCAAGGTATTCAATTACCTATAACTGGGCACCAAATATTTTAACAGTTAAGAGTCACTTCCTCCACTGTCGTTAAGCATTTTTTACAGAATCATCACATCCTGTACAGAAACATTAACAAACACATTTACAGTGAACTATAATCACAATCCAATTTTCATTTCGCTGAACCTTCAATGTAATCTAGTCAGTTTTCTCATGAAGTATTAAGAATCAATTCCCCATTTTCCAACTTCTCTCCTACAAAATCGGCACTTTCATGGTTAACACGTTCCGTGCCACATGTATCACCGGTGTTACACACAGCCTGAATGGAAAATTTAAAGTGTACCATCGGTGGTACATATGGCACGGAACGTCTTAATGTTGAACTGTAGTTTAAAACAAGACCAACAGCCTCTATTAACAAAAGACACACATTTCCGGTAATTTATGACTTGAAGAACGACATAAAGATTGACTCTCTGATGACCAGCGCCAGTTATTGCGTAGCATTCAATCCTTACTAAATATGCCAAATGTTCACCATATCAAGGATAATGAGATTCGAGTAGTTAATACCCAGAAATTTCTCCAGAACCTTCGCTCCGCCTCCCTGTCCTATTGTCTTCTTATCTAAAGATATAGTGACGTAGTAGACTTATTGTAAACATGGGGGGTGTCATTTGACATAATTAGTAAGGATTGAATGCTACGTAATGACTGACGCTTGCGAAGTCATTAAAGTTCATGCGAAGTTTCATTAAAATCAAAATTTTCCCCAAAAGGGAACCTTTCCTTGTTAGTAAGGTCATGAACTAACATTTACTCAAAATTTTAGGTCCATTAGTCAACAGATTGTATCATAACAGTAATAAACTGATGACCCCTCAACCAGTACTGTCCAAAGCATATCCCCTAAAATAGTTTCCGTTTACACCAATTTCGAAAGTTCTTGAAACTCTAAACATGATCCTAGACCCAACAATTCTAGAAGAGCAGGACCTATAGGAGAAGCTGCTCTTTATGGGTCTACTGATATTACCACTTCACAATATCGTTACCTCATGGTCTAATTAAATATTTCGCGAAGTGTATATATTACAATCAGTGACCTTAAGTGGCCAAAATATTTGCTGCTCAATATAGTATGTGTGATATTGTCGTGAACTTAAGAAACGAATCGTCGACTTTAGTGGAATCTACGTTTATATGTAGATATACTAGATAGACGAGACACCACGTTTCTTCTCTTTGCCAGATCTTTTTGACATATGTAATGAAGCACGATCGTGAGATCCTTGAAAGTGAAACGATGTCGCACATTCTCGTGCACTTGCATGGCACGGTTTTATATCTTTATATATATGTGTGTTTGTGTGTGTGTGTGTGTGTGCGTGCGTGCGTGCGTGCGTGCGTGCGTGCGTGCGTGCGTGTGCGTGTGTGTGCGCGTGGTGTGTGTGTGTGTGTGTGTGTGTGTGTGTGTGTGCGTGCGTGTGTGTGTGTGTGTTCAGGATGATAATCGAGAGGAGTCTTTGGAAGGAAAATACTGGTTTCTTAAGTATTTCTAACATCTTTATCATTGTTTCCCTTTATGATGCAGTAGAAATTTGTAATGTAGGGAAGCCCGGAGACACATTTAGAGTCAATTCAGATCGTCCTTTATTTGTTTAAATATAATGAGGAATATTTATAGTAATGTCGCAAAAATAATACGCTAATCTTTTTATAAATACAAACGTAGAAAATTAAACTAGCAAGAAGAAAAATTTATCTAACATAAAGGTTACCATACCCAGATAGTTTATATCCGAATGTCCTATGTCCATTTTGGACATCCCTAGAATGTTCGTAAGACTTGTTATATGTTTTCCTGTTTTTTTAATTTTTAAGGCAGTATTTCAATTTTTGTATTAAAAATTTAGTCATTAAATAGAAAAGACCAAATAAGTCTAACATTTTGTAGAATTTAGGCTCCAAAACTTCTACGACCAAAAGGAACAAAAAAGATGGAAAGTATATGCCAGAAATCAGAACAAGCTGCACGAGACATTATACATATGTTGAATTTAAATGTCATAAGGATTACCAGTATTTTCTTACCGAACATTAAAGGTGCACTGAAAGATCATACGACTAATCGTTTTTCGTACAACTACCATCTTCTTAATAGCTGATATTTATTACTAGAAATGAGGTTCCACAGCCAAGCTGCGAGAACTGTGCACCATGCTCGTCCTGTTTCTGCACTCTCTTCTTAGATGTTACCTCCTCTTTTGTTTTCAATGCATTGAAAAGTATCAATGCGGATTACACACTCGACGTGACTCAATTATCTTATAAATACAAATACGAACTTGTATTCTCACTATATTCTTCAAATTGTGTTTCACCTGGAATATTCGTTGCAGTACGCATTAATAGCCGAGTATACTATAATATTACAAGTACCTGACAATATACCTTTAAAATGTCATTAGTTAATTATATTGAATCTGTGAATTGTATGCATTTATGTTATTTACCGACGGAACCAATGAAATGCAAAACTTAAAAACTGATTTTGTATTATTACCAATATAACAGAAACTACAACAAAAAGTATAAATAAAAAATTACATTGACGTCCCACAAAAATCCAGAAATAAAATTTAGCAAATTACGTCGTCAAACGCAAGTACTATTTATTTTCCGAAAAACTCACATTAACTTATTATTAGGAATCATTTCCCGAAAAATTCAGACGTTCATGAAGATTTTGAGAATACTATTAGTGAATGATGAAGTCATCGAAGAGGATCCTGAAAACTGATCAAAATTTGGTCGTTTATCTACTTCGATTTATTTAAAAATTATAAGTTTCAAAATTGTTGATTGCTTGAGCTAAATAATCATATCAGCTGCTAAATTTTGATTCTGGTCCACTATGGCGTCCTTAGTATAATGGTAACTTTTCGAAAATATTTTACTCACAAGCAGTCGTGACTGTATTTGCCAAATAAATGATAATATATATACAGTAATTCCTTGTTGAGTGCGACACGAGACCGTCTTGATGACTGTGACGTCGTCATCCCCACCACTGGGGAAGGGGGCCGTGGAACTTGTCCAACGCATAATTTTTTGCCCGGCGCGCTGCGGCACTTTCCCTTTTACGAGCCGACGCGACGGCTGAACGAGGGGTGATCAAGAAAAGATATACTGCCCGGGTATCAAATGTCACAAAACTAATGTAACGATGAAAATTTTTTATTTTTGGTTCTAATTTGGAACATATTTGCTTATGTAGAAGGTATTCAAAATTCATATTCTTTTATTATCGCTTCTGATGAAGTACTAACATAAAAAAATGTTCGAGCCTTTGTTTATTGCGTACAAAGGTGTCTGAAAGATTTAAGAAGGTACAATATTGAATGCCGGAAGGAAAAGAAGTAAACGCATACATACATTGTATTGATACGGGAAATTGAATAGAAGAAACGGAGTTTTGTCAGAGAGCAATTGTAGCTGTTATGTATTGAGTACAGAAAAATATAGAATTCGAGAAAACTTATTTCTAAATATATGTGTATATATGTACATAGGTGCTGTGACGATGTACGTAACGGTGTATGTATGTACACCCGCGAGCAAACTCGGCTTCCACTAGGGGAAAATGTAGCGTAAGAGAAAGGCCTCCTGCCACTTGGTATTTAGAATTACTGAAATGTATGTCAATTATTAAAATTATTACCGTCAACATTAAATATAAGATCTAACAACAATATCGATAGGAAATCATCAAAATAAATCACCATAAAAAAATATAAATATAAAAAATAAAAAAATGAATATGACAATTATATTATTAACTTATAATTATATCATTAAAATACTCTGGAATGATAGCGGTATGGTTAATTGGCCGTAAAAGCGGAGCACCAGGTTCTTTTACTTGAACCGGAGCGTGCCACCGCTGTCTTTATCCCATCGTGTAGTAGTTCATCTCGAGTCATACTCGGACAAAGCGTCGAATTACCGAACTGTTTATCCCGAGTGGGACTCGGACTTTTAAAGAGACGAACAGTTGCGACAAAGCGGACCCGAGTTTGTCGCATTCATCACGGGATTACTGTATATATTTTTACAATACTTATTTTTTCCTCGACGGTTAAGTATGTTTTAATTTTCTTCTGCATTCAAAATACGAAATTCGACGAAAAAATTCCCCTCCAGTTTGAGAGTACTCGGGGAATTCCAATATCGACGCGATTCGAGTAACGTCGAGTGGTTGAAAAGTTCGTATGTCCACGGTGACAAGAGACAGACAGGGCGAAAGAGGTAAAAAATTTTGTCGAGAGGCAGGCCGGGCCCCCCTCTCGGCCACCTGTTCGTTTTTTACCACACGAAACACAATTAAATGGAAGTTTACGTTGATGGTCGATCTGTCCTGTCTGAATGTCTCTCGATGCCTGTACCACTAATCGGCGTCGATGGTATCGAATCGCTGCCTCGATGCTGTCCCGCCTGACACCCTATATGTCCTCGTGGATGTTTTCGATGTCTTCCTCCCTGCATCGTCTTTATGCACTGCCGTCTTGACGCACGACCTTTGCCCGGCAGTTTCAAAGGGTGAGTTTACGTTTTTATGCTTTCTCGATATGATCTATCCGTATCGTTCACTCTTCACGAAAAAACATTCAAAAAGCTGATGTACGCGATACAAATTGTTTTTTCGTTTATCAGGAGTGCAAGTTAATTCGGTGCCTTTATCTACACTCAAATGTAACTTCGATTTAAATTGAAATATCTTTCCGCCATTTAATGAATTTTGTAGTGCTACAAAAATAATGTAATAGAAAGTGATGCAGAATATTGTGAAGGCTAACATGTTTATTACGTTTTTTTAATAATGACCCAATTCCTTCAGACCGTATTAATTTGCGCACCTAATCTTTATTAACCATTTCGCTGCAATAGAGCTAACCAGCTTTTGACAGTCCGAGATGGAAGTGTGCACTTCTGCCGCTGATAGAATACGCCTGCATCTTCAAACTATTACTTTACTGTTGACTTTCTTTTTTATTGTTATTTTTAAATTATCGAGACAATCAAGCGAATAACGGTTGGTTAGAGCTTAAGGTACCGAGAATTGTTGTTGATTTATAAGCAGCGTTAGCAGTTCCGCGAAATTTTTAGGCTTACCTATAGTCATCCTTAGTATATGACGAGCACTCAGTGCTGGGTGGCTATAGTTATCCTTAGTGACAAGGGAGTTAAACGGGTAAATATCCATTGCGATATGTGAAAGACCAAAAGAAAATACAATATAGCAATATAAAAATGTGTAACTAACGTGGACTAAAGTGGAGTAAATGTAACAAAATTAAAAAAGAAATGAGGGATGGATGAGGACCTGATGATTCACCCTATACAAATGATCGAATATCTAAAATATTTTAAAGGTGCAATCCAATAACAAGACATTACTAAAATACTTTCCATAACTCGAGCTGTACAATGAAAATTGTTGTACCACGCAGTTCGCTAATACGCGAAGAAATAGGGTGACGAAGTTCGCGAATTGTGGAGAAGTCGCGTGGATTTGTAGTTTTAGAATTTACGCGGTGTTTCGGGCAGAATTTAATCGACTGCACCGTAAGCCGAAGTTCACTGTTTAATTCTGCTCGCTGAATCGCGAGCCACGATCCGAACTCCGAAATTGAAGTCGGTTATTCCGAAGTGAAATGTTGAATGTCGAAGTGAATTGAAGTTGTGAAAATGTCAGACGCTGCGGCGATGAACTTTCCGCGTCGACGAGTTAATAAATCGGCCTCGAAGGATTTATGTATTCCATAGTGATCCATTTAAATGTTAGCAATTATTGCTACAATGTCCAGTGTACAATATTTTTACCTTTTGTATATTTAAATCTCTTGCTACAATACAGTATTTGTGAAAATCAAAGCAAATACAGCAACAGTGTCATAGAAAATTATTGGGATTCACACCCACTTCTGATACTGGGTCACTGTCATGAAACTCTCTGAACTTTGACAAATACTTTTTTATTAATGGTATCGTACATCATCGTCATCATCATGTACGAAATTTTCAAACAACGATGAACATTTGAACTTCTATAATCTGGACATTTATTGGTAATTTCTAATATACTGCGCGATGAACAGTTTCAATTTCGTATGAATTTCTGCGGATATTTGCAAGTTGATAGACCCGTCCTTTTGAATGTTAAATGGTTTTTATACGAAATTCTAGGATGATACAAAATTTAGAGGCATGATATGAGTTTTAGTATTGTATATAAACCAATTGATAAATGAAGATACTTTGACGTTTTGTTTATCAAGCTTTTGTTATCATTTTAAGTTATTAGATTGTGTCACGTCATTTTCGTGCACGATGATGTACCTGCAAGGTCGTAAAAAATAAATTTTTAATTAAAAAATTTTAATTTAAACATCTCTGACAGTCTGCATATGTACATACTTGTATCCTTGTTCTTAAATTTATCGTTTCATTTACTGTAAAAATCAGTTTTTAATTCTCAAGGCTAACAATAACAGCAATCTTGCATTGAAATTGCATTTTAATTGCCATTTAATAAAAAATTGTTTGTAGTAAAGTAACAAATATTATTAATTGAGATTTCTGTTTCCACAATTACATTTTCAGAACACTTCTTTGAGTCATGAGTAAAAAGATATTTATATCTTCGGAATATTCTCTTTCTGACAAAACCATGATTTTTTCAGGATTATTTTTACTTCGTGTAGAGACTTAAATTAGGCATTTATTAGTAACAAAATATAAGAACATTATACTACTACTAATTTAACAGATTAATAAACATAAAAATATCGTTTCATTGTAAAAGAAAATTTAATTTCACTTAAAAAGGTGGTCAAACTAAAACGAAATTTCAGTAAAATTAATAATATATGTATGTAGGATTTTCGTGTATAATATTGTAACGTGTGAAGTCCCGATATTTTAATAAACCAAAACACACATTCCCTCTCTATCTCTGTCGCACTTATGTGTATAAAAATTCTAGAACATATTGATTTAAAACAGCTGGAATGCTGATCGATAATATTGATTTTTAAAACATCTAGAATTTTCACGACGGACGTGGCGTAATAAAGAGTGAATGTGTGTGTGCGTGCATGCGGCTCTGGAAAATTCCGGAAGGTTCCAGAGCCTCGACAATTGATAAACGAAAGCTAGGAATTAAAAGGCTCGCCTTGTGCCGCGGGCGAGCAGTATTTTTCAAACCACTTTCAAGTTAATTTGTACTTGAATGTAATAATTGTGACCCTCCAGGCAACACGGAGAATTTAAATAAAATATTTCCTACATATACAAGGTGCCCCACCTCTGCACCCTCAATTATTCTCTTATTTGTCACGATAAAAAAAAAGAATTCGAGAGAAAGTTAGTGTATTTTAGGGGGAAAATTAGTCTATGAGATTGCAGGTCATCTCAAGGTCATATCTTCTGAGATTTCTCTAATGATAACGTTTTTTTTAAATAGAATGCCCTATTTCTTGGTTGCCATTAGAAAGAGGAGATCAAAACGTATCCAACAATGTATCACACTATGGGATGATAACACTTTGAACATACACTAAAAGAATAAATAATGCGTTTGTTTTGTTTCTGCAATTAATTTTCTGTGAGCTACCACCTCCACCAGTTATGTGTGAAATTTTCAGCCCAAGGTCGTGTCAAGGTCATAACGTGATACATTGTTGGATACGTTTTGGTCTCCTCTTTGTAATGGCAACCAAGAAATAGGGCATTCCATTTTAAAAAAAACGTTACCATTAGAGAAATCTCAGAAGATATGACCTTGAGATGACCTTCAATCTCATAGCCTAATTTCCTCCCTAAAATACATTAACTTTCTCCCGAACCATTTTTTTTGTACCGTGACAAATAAGAGAATAATTAAGGGTGGCAGAGTTAGGTGGGACACCCTGTATATTATAATAGAAGTGATAGTAATATTCAAAAAATAAAGTATGTTTATTGATGCCTTACCGTTATAAAAATGTAACCACTCGGAATATTTGAGTTTTGTTTAATAATCACTGAGCTTATTAATATAATAGTTTAAAATGTCAATATTTAAAAAACGCAGAATGTCACCAATCTACGCTTATAAAGTATATTGTTCACTATAGATTTCAACTTACAACTCCATTTTCAAAGTACCATAGTTCAAAATAACAAAAAAAAGTATCTTAACTATTCCATAATTTTTTTAACAATTATCAAACACGAACAATTACTAATAAATAATATTCTAGCACTGGTATTCACTAATTATTTCAGCGCATATGGTTTTATGAAACATTCTTCTACCCCACTGCTCCCGACATACGTTCTGTTCACACGATAAACCCAGAACAACCGATTCCTGTGTCCAAGAAATTTCTTTTTCCCACGATAACAACGCGAACATTTTAATTTACGTTTACATCTCTCGCATTTGGTCCTTATGGTACGCCATAACGTTTACGTATATCGATCTTTTACGAAGCAATGACGTGTGTTCACTCTAAACGTTTCACGTATAACACAGTTACACGTGCGATTGCATCTGATGGAACCAGGAAAGTCACATAACAATCGATTAAGTTAGCGTCACTTTCCCTCGTGGATATGTAACGATTTTCGCTTATTTTCAAACACAAAAATCCGTCTTGAATATTTATGATTTTAATATGGCATTTTATAGTTGCTCTCGCTTCGAGAAATTCCTCGAAATATTCTTGAACCCTGTATGTACGTGTAAATTAAAATTATTTCATTATTCAGGAAATCTGCAAATATAACATAGTTAAAAATTATTTATTTATATTATAAAAGCGCTCGAATAGTTTTTTCGTCATTGTGTATGTGCCCTGACGAGCAAACTCGGCTTCCGCTAGGAGAGAAATTTGCGTAGAAGGGCCTCCTAACACTTGGATTCAGAAATTAGTGAAATTTATGCCAAATTAACATTCGGTTTAACATTTATTTCAGTATTTGAATTAAATTTACCAAGTGGTATGCGAATTTTTACCTACGTCACTTTTTCCTCTAACGGAAGCCGAGTTTGTTCGTCGGGTACATAGATTTTAGAATCTTCCTTTTTATACTTTCATATACTTTGTGATTATTCAATTTCTGCCATTCGTAAAACCTAATGAAAATGAATACTCTTATTATTATAAATCATTCATGATTCGTACATAGATGAAAACGATATAGAATTTTAATTTTGGTACAAAAATTCAATTTTTTACATGAGCATGTTAGACACGTACTACCTCTAGCATCGCAAGCATTCATTTTCCAGGTGTTCTGCTTCACGTATATAACCGTTTCATTTCGCTCAATTGCACATGTTTAACACTATACAAATGTGAATAATGTACATATAGCTTTATATTATACGCTGCATTTGATATTACGATGGACAAGACAATTTTCTAATCCCTTCTGTCGAAGAAATGAAAGAAAATTGTCTGCAGAGTAAAGTAGTACCTCGGTTTTTACACTAAAGTAGTTAGTTTAGATCTGTAATCAATGCTTCATCTTTTAGATTATTGATTTCAGTTTAACTCCATTGACATTTATTAAACTTCATTTCACTCCTACTTTAGACTATTTATTCTCACTGCTAGATAATGAGATTCATCATTCCTCATGGCCACAACAGATGCAAATGTAGAATATAATTATTTTTCATACACCTTTATTCTCAAAAGAATAAAATTAAAAAATTTCTTTATTCGTATATAATACATTGGTGTAGTCGGTAAACTCGGTAACGTGGGATCTAAATACTAATGATGTTGCTGCGCTCAGCGATCCAGACGTGTAGAATAACGCTATGGTAGCCGTGACACTGAATTTTCAAACACCGTGTACGTTCTAATCATTAACAATTATTTCTATTCTAATTAACTTATTTTTGTAAATGTTAAGAACAATAAAGTACCTATTATACGTTTCCACAATAACTTTACATGAGTTGATAAAGCGAAGACAATAAAATCGAAGGAAACAGATCATACAGTACCACCGTCTATTTGCGACAAATAGAAAAGTGAGCACTAGACAGACACCTACCAACTATATTATTTATGAATGGTTATCTAGAGGAAGGACATGTGTTAGATTTCATATGATTTACAGGAATACGTAAAAACAATTAATTACTTACTTTAGCAATTAAAGAATGATAATTACACATTTTTGCTGTACAGCTCCTGACCTCTAGTGTCATTATTGAGTACTAAAAACTTTGCTAAAGCGTTTTCCCCATTACACTGGCCCTTGTTCCACGGAAAATCCCATTCTAAAAATTCATAACGCATGCCCTTCTTCCAGACACTCTTCCAATTATTATTAGGTTAGTGGAAAATAAATGACTATTTGAACATATTACAGCTATTATTGTTCTCACTGTCGTTACAGAACATAGTAAAGACGCGTTAATTGCGTGGAGGGGATCCCGCGTTAACTGTCGCGAGTCATCCCCACTACTGGGCGGAACTCCCCCAGAAACTGGTCAAGCGTGTATATGTATAGTATATGTAGCTCGAGTTATGCACAACGCACACGGGAACGCAAGACGCCTCGCTTCTGGACACATCTGGCTTGAAATAAAATATAGATTGTTGCATTAAAAAATACTACTGTCACATCAAAAACAGAATAATCCACCAAAACATGTATTCTATATTCCACAAAATCTTAGAGTACTAAAGTGCAAAAGTCTGAACGAACGAATGAAATGTTACTGTTTGTCGTATACAATTAAAAAATGAAATACATGTTTTAGAAATGGTATCGGTTTAATTTAAAGAAAATATATTTTGACATAAGAAACGCATGACATTGCTGCCTAATCGAAAATACATAAGCAATGAAGAGACAACATTAAAAAAGACATTCCCTATCAAGTACTTATTGCTAGCCTGTACAACGTCGAAATTAGTGCATCCAGTTATGCAACATACTAATATTACATGCATTTAAACCTACGTCGATGTTGTTGCAGGATCGTCAAGGGTTTCCCACCCGTTTCACCGTTCATAGGTGTGTCGCCCACCTTGTGTTACCTGCTTAAAGAAAAGAAACCCCTGTGTTGTCTTCAATTGGCACAGGTATACATTTTTCTCGCATAATTTCTACAACCCCAAAGGGAAGTATACTATTTGCACATGATAATGATTAGTCTGTGGAATATTTATGCAAGTATAGATTTTTGTAAACTAATTTACAGAAACTGAAATCAAGTTCCATATAGAATAAGAACATCACGATATCAATCTTTTTACTTTCTTCAATGTTATACAATTATATATTTCACTCTTTGCTTCTAATTAATTACTTTTAATTAGATAAAATCCGTAGTCTAGCGATAATGTATTATAAACGAACATGTCAATGTATAAGAAATATTCTCAATTATTTTTGCACAGGTCTGCCAACACTGTAGCTACAGAAGTGCGAAGGACTACAATTGGCAAAACAAGACTATTATACTGGCTGCTGATTACGCCAGCAATGGAATCTACAACTTTATAATTCCTCTAAGAGCACATTTTAGGTGAACCCTCCTTTCTTTGTCACATTCGCAAACTACTGTAAACAATAATTCTTGACTAAATTCATATTTTTAAATATGTTTGTATAAAATGTACCATAATAGTATAAAAAAGATATCGATCTCTTTTGAAAAGTCAAGTATCTAATAGTAAGGATAAAAATGAACAAAAGTATTTGAAAAATTTTTTAAACGCCTTGACACTGCTGCATATATTTATTTTGCGGAATTTCTATTCAATCTCTGTTAACAATCTCTATTAGATCAAAAACTTCGTTGAATCCCATCATTCTCCTCCTGGAACGGAAACCGGAAATTGCGTTCCTTGATGCTGTGTCCTACTTCCCTCTGGTATACTGGATGCGGGGTTCCATCGATTGTTTGGACGATCTCCTTCGGGCCGGCATCACTTTGGCGGAAAATGTCGTCGTTGTGAACAAGGAACTTAGCAATTCCGCGGAGGAAGACACCTTGGCCGACTGTAACACAATCGTCGCGGTGCAAACAATGTTCAAGTGAGCATTCATGATCCTACAAAGATATAATACTCGCATTCACGTTACTCGGAGGTACGCTTATCTCCTGCACCGAAAATATCTCCGTTGCTTCTAAGGGTATAGTACATAAATAATCTTGATGGAATTATTCCATTCGAAAAGGTGCATATTATGACATAAAACACCTTTCGCATGGTATTTGATTCTTTGAAATATCAAGGTCATCTGCATTTTTCTTTTTTTTTGTTGCATATGGCCCAATTTTACAACATAGTAATATAAAGAATTCTATGACAATTCCAACAAGTTATACTTTTATGACGTTGAACGTGAAAAATTTTATTTTTGTCAGCTTCAACATTATTCTCAAAGTAGATTATGTATGTGTACCTTCGACGGAGACTCGATGGCGGAGCGCAGCGTCTCGACGGCGTGACTCGAGTCGACGCTCAGTCCTCCTCTCTCTTTTATCCTCCTCGCCCGCTGTCCTTGTCTGTTCCGGCAATATAACAACGGTCACAGTGGCACCACATTGGTCGTCAGATTGTTTTCGTTAGACGTCAGTTGATCTGATTGGGTACTGCGGACTGCGCAGTGTTAAAAATTTCATCAAAATCGTGTAACGTTGCTACGAGATAAAAACGATTAAAATAGTTGAAAATCGGAGTTTTTCGCGACTTTTGACGTACAACTGTAGTATATCTAAAGATTCTTACATCTTTCAATGCCTGTTACTCGTTTCTGTATTAACTGATTTCAATGAAAGTTTCAGTATGTATACATATAATTAACATAAATCTTCGATAGGTACTTATTAAATTTTCATTATATCCTCAGATTAAAAAGTTGTAAAAAACAACCTTTACTATTTTTTTCGCGATTCCAACCAATTGCAATTTTTTCAATTTTGTTTTTACACATCATTTAGTAAACTAATGTCTCTAACTTCACAAAAGAATTCAAGTCATTTCGACCAATTTTAAGAAAGTTAATCCTTTTAAAATAAAAATCCTTGTAATTTTTTTTACCAGAAGAACCTATTTTTTGACCATAGATCAATAGAATATCAAATTCTGAGTAAAAATGTGTTTGCCTTCATACATCCTAAACCTAATAGTTAACAAAATAGGTATTTACAAAATAATCTTTAATACGTACCTATTTACTATCTGGAAGTTGTAAGTGTTCGAACTGATGCTCCTCAACTTCAATACAGCGATTTCAATACAGTGATTATTTTGTAAATATTTCGTTAACCATTACGTTTAGGACGCATGAAGGTTAACGCATTTTTATTCTGAATTTGATACTCTATCGATATATGGTACAAAAAATAGGTCATTCTGGTAAAAAAAAGGAAAGTGACCTTCAAATCTCCGAAATGCCTCCACCCACAGAAAAGCACGTACCGTATAAAACGTGCCCCTTGATGCCATTTAAGTTCCACCCTTGTATTCTTGTATACATATGTATACGCTTGACCAGTTCCGCGGAGCCCTGCCGCGCCCAGTGGGTGGGGATGACTCGCGAACAATTATCGGACAGATCCCCTCTGTACAATTAAAGGGTATTTACTGTATTTGAGATATTAAATTGGCAGCTCCATGTTTAATAATAAGCTGTTTTCTTAATTGTAAAATAAATATTCTTTATCTTTTACAGATTCTTCCCCAGTATAAAGAGCATAACAGAGCTGTCGCAGTCGAGCAACATGCGTTTCATGCAATTCAGAGCACACGATAAGTATGCTCTTCACCTTAGCAAAATGGAAAAGGTATTCTTTACATTTAATTTTTATAACAATTACCTTCGAGAACTACAAAAAATTTTACAAATAACACAATGTTTCGCCATTTAATACTAAATAACAGTTAACAAAATGATTATAAATGTTATTGCTCGCTGAAACAATCTTTAACGCCATAAAATTCAATCATAGAATTATTGTTTCCATCATCAATTCAATAATTCTAGTTTATATTTAAAAACAAACATAAGACATAAATAATAGAAGAAAATGCAACATATTTCAGTTTTAAATTTTATTTTTATAACAGTTATTGCATGAAAAAAGAAAACTTCAGGTATCTATGATTTACTAAATTTTTTTATCAAAATAGTCTTTACTTCATGTTCAATTTCTGACTACTCAGTGACTTTAAACATTTTTTTCTCACATATTTTAAGTCTGCTTCGCCTTTACCTGATAAAGTGTACCATTACATTAGAACAAAATTTAAGGAATTTTTACAGTGCCCTTTATAATCTGAAAGTGAAACTATGTTCTGTCATCAGATACTATGGTATGAAGGGAAGAAAGCGTTCTTTAACCATTATTTCCATAAAATCAATTGTTATGGTACACTTTATGCGAGAGTTGTGATTCAACACTTTATGTAGTGCATTAATTTTGCCTGGCAATAGAAATAACGAGACTTTTTAATTATTCTAACAGAGGGAGAAAGAAAGAGGCTCCCACATATCATACATGTTTCGGTTACCATTCGCGGCTGGCAGTGTCTTCAGCGCATCCATGCTGGACACACTTTTGTACCAAGCATTCGTAAAGGATTACATGATAACATTCGTAAGATTGCTGCTGGGTGTGGATCAAGCACCAGGATCTGGTTTTCTCACATCGGTAATAAATATTCTCAATACAGTGGAACTTCGATTACACAAACTGATCGAGCGACACGGATACATAAATACTTATTATGCAATATTCATGAATCAATGTAGTAAGAACAAAGATTTTATTATCCTAAAGGGTTTTCGTACTAATAACTCGAAATTTTCTATGACACAATAATTCTAGTCTTTTTAGTCTTTCGTTTTTTATTAGTAAATCATATTTTTAGTTTATGTGGGTGGTATTCGGTCGAATACATGGTGTTGAGATAATTGTAATTTATATTTTATTTTACTAGTGTATTACTATATTGAGAAAGAAATATTCATTTACAATTACCTTTAAATTTTCTAACATCAGTAAATTCTTTCAAAAATTCGGAATTAAATTATATATTTTAGTCTCCACAAAAGAATTTCTAATTTTTCCATTTTTAACTGACATCTTAATAAACAATATCTGCAATTTTCTTTAATTCCGTTGGATATAATATTTGGGTTACACTTTAACGAATGACTGTTGTTAATAATTACCATCGCTTGTATATTAAGTTAAAGTTTTCTCTACACTTTATAAAAGCCACTATTTGTTCCGACAGTAAAACCATCTAAGAATTGCTTAGAGTAAATTAATAGCAGACGACGAATGTAGATAAAATGTTTCTATAATAATTAAGTGTATTTGCACTAGAACATTTTATGTGAAACTCAAAAGTATTTGTCATACACCATTATTCGAGATTCGACTAATAGAAAACTTTCGAGAAAGATAATAATTTTAAATATCAGTCATAAATCCCAAAATTTAGTTCTAAGAAACTAGTTTCTTAATAATAATGGTACAATCGCATCAGAAAGTGAATTCACACTCCTAAACTGTTTGAAGAAGAAATGGATCGTCGTATTGCTATAAGACAAAACGTTCTTGTGTTTCTTTTATTTATTGGAAAGTCACTAGCCTGTCCAAAGTATCCAGCATTTATTTTAGCAACATCTTGACGAAATATTATATTACATATTGTAAGTCATTAACTACTCTCCAAGGCGACTTTATAAATATACTTGTGCTTCAGTGTCAAATAAAAAAAAAAGGCCCATTTTATATGCACTGTTATACTAGAATGAAGAAACATATAATACACGCCTTTTATCTGTCTAAGGACGTTAATAAACATTCAATTACAGATGAAAATAACGAAAGACGATATGTGGATCAGAACCTACGGCAGACTGTACCAGAAACTTTGCTCGACAACCTGCGAAATCCCGATCGGTATATACAGGACACAGGACACCACCGTGTCGGACACGTCCCACGTGAGTAAAACGATCTTTACTCTTGAACTCTCCAAGGGATAACTAAGTGATTGGTTCGTGTACTATTGTTATAAGGATAGGAAACAACGTTAAATGGCGGCTGTGAGTAGCGCATGGTTGTATAGTCCCGCTCTATCTTTTGTTTTCCACTTTTACCCAGCGTTGACCTATCGACTCGACATTTACGATTCTCCCATTCCGACGAGACGTAAATGAGTAGGGCTCTCGCATCTTGGTGCAAACGATGCTCGTAGCACGTCCTCCGATCCTGAATATATTGTATATATGTATATTCGTCTTGAACCTGCATCGTGTTAGACCATTACATTAGTGTCAGTCAGGACGCTTCTTCCGTCGATAAAGCGTCGCTATCGGTATCAATCGATCGGTGACTAATCACGGTACACTTTTGGCAGCGCACAGATCTGATGCTATGTGGCTCGATACAGTTACAACGTGGATAATATTGGATTTGAAATGAAGATATTAAATTGGTTTTGTGGGTTGCTAATTTCAGGTAGTCACTGTGACTCCAATGTTTCGGTATAACATGCAACTAGTCAGATTAGTATCTAGTCTATTAATGACATGATCCATAGCAGTGTGTAGAAGGAAATGAATGTGCATTTGCATAGCCCACAGTGAACGATCAGAAATTGAAGGAACTGCACGTAACATATTTTGTATAAAAGTACTACTGTATATATTGGAAATTTTACCAGAAACAATACAACAAAAAAAACAAGCTATCCTTAAGTCATAAGTCATAATTTATATAATTTCATTGAAAATAACTACTGAGTTTTATGATATTGCTGAAGACTATAATCTGGTGTCTAGGGAATAGAGCAAGATAGGACACTTAATACGTACATAAATCTTGTTTAACAAGAAATAGGTATCCAAAATCTTAACAAACACTTTAACAATTCTGTTGGCCCTTACAGAGAATTTGTACTTAAATATAACGAATAGGTAAACATAAATTTTTCGAAGGGGTTATAATGTTGTTAACGAATCAGTGTCTTTGATATTTTTCATTAGACGAGAAGTTTTCAAAGGGGATTTAGAAGTTCTTCAAAGGGGTGATTCCTGGGGTGATTATTAACAACTTTTTCCTTAGTGCAAAAGTTCTCCGAAGCTTTGTTGACAAGATATTAACGAAAAACCTCGACCAATCAGACCGCTGGGTGTTTCATTAATATCTCGTTAAAGAAGCCTTGAATAACTTTTTCACTAAGGAAAAAGTTGTTACAAATCACCCCAGGAATCACCCCTTTGAAGGACTTACACTTATTTTGGGACACCCTGTATATGTATCTAATATCGTTAATGTCTCTAGGAATCAAACTAAAAAAATACAAACATGACTTCAATATCTTTTAATACTTTTTGAATAATATGTCCACAATTATTTCCTTTTTTCGAAATATAAGTATGATATGAATTCTTTAAACGTCATCAGCTCTAAGAAGTGCTTAGAAGTACGAGAATTGATCAGAAACTAAAAGTCCCTGTTTGCTAAAGTTTTCGTTTATAACTTGCGCACAGATTAAATTATCATTATTGAACTTGTTTTCATTGTTATGCATTGTCCCATCGTGGCATGAGCTTGCATATACCCTCTTGATAGAAATGCAGCTCTTGATGTTCAAACCATTCTTGGACAGCATACTGTACAGCTGCACCATCTGGAAGTCTTCTACCCCCAAAATATTTCTTCAGTGATCCAAACAAATGTAAACTCGAATTAGGCCATGATCTTCTATCAATTGTCTATGGATATCGATGGGAGCCATACGTTTAGCTTATAAAAACCGAATTACAGCAAATTTCCACACAAGACCCTGATTCAAATTTTCTCACCATTAGACAGTGTTGCAGAGAAGCAACTACTCACATGAATGACATTAGCCGTACTGTCGAAACACGTTCAATTATAAGCAGTGTATTCCCTTTACATGCAAGAAACGATTACCGAGGGACACTTAGTTTCTGATCATCCCTTATATATTTTCTGACCAACGTAAGCAAAGAGAATATCAACTTCTGTAGGAATTGAATTTGCAAAGTTTTCGTTTCAATATACACATATGATAACAATTATTAGGTTGTTACACATGAAATGGCCATTTTATTACCTGCTCTTGATACTAGAGATGGCGTGCAAAATCACTAACGGTGATTTATCACAGTGATCACCGAATCACGATCACGGTCGTGATTTAACTTCATTGACGACCGTGATTGCGATTTTTTTATCTTGAGTGAATTTGTTCACTGCGATCGTAAGTCCTTGATCTTTAAACAGAAAAGCGTATTCAATATGATTTTACGATAAATTACATTACTATTTGTGTTTGTAAAAATCGGTAGAAAAAACAAGAAATTCTAAAAGAATGATGCTTGGTAATGATTTGCTAGGTAACATGTAGATTATAATTTTTAATTATTAATTTATTCATTATTCTTCATTGTTTCTAATTATTCCTTCACTTTATACGATATAACTCGAATTTTTGTTTTGATGTCGTTAATATAAAATATACAGATTATGTGTCGCGTGTAAAGAACTGTTAGGTTTCTCCACCAAACAGAAACGATCACGAGAAATCACGAATCACTGTGAAAAATCACCGTGATTGGGAACGAACGTGATCGAATCACGAGTGATTCAGAAGTAGCAGTTCACGCCATCTCTACTTGATACTGTATTGAACACGAAACGAATTATGTTAGACAAAGTAAGATTAAATACATTTTGTAATACGTTTTTTACTGAAATACAAGTGTCACATTCATGTTACATTCATTACATAATTATTATACTGAATTTGATGATAACTCTTCGAGGACACATTTAGCTGCCATTCTATTCGATGAATGACGTCATTACTAAATAGTATTTTTCTGTAAAAACTTGGATGCACTTTTATGAAGATTATTTATGAATTTGGCTTAACTATCATAACTGATTCTTGTACTGTGTTACATAGTACCTTGAGCTGCATAGAGTACAGCGTGTAATTTTGCAATAAAGAAAGGAGCTAGGTTACTAATTTTCATTCACAAAAGTAACATCAAATGTACCTATCAGTAAAATCGGCCATTTTACGTACAATGACTTGACCCTAAGAAGCGTTTAGAAGTAACAATCTACATAACACACATATTACATTCATAACTGACCATCTTCTTGTACATCGGAAGCTTTGTTCTCTGGTTTCATTACGATTATCCGGAGGATTGTACAGAGGTAGTGTATCGAACGATTGATCCGGTAAACATAGAACAATAGCCAGCAGATCGTGAATAAAGAACGAATCACAAGCAGTGCCAATCCGTGCGAGATCGCGACAACGGTGGGCTGTCCTTTAGTAAGCGTAGAATTGCTTGTCGTTTTGGCAGGGCGACTCAGACGCGGAGAGCGACGCCGGCGTCGGGGTAACGTACAAGGTGCGTCATTCGGCGGCAGCATCCTGCCTTGCGAATTGCGCCACCCGTGACAAGGGTGCTTCAGCCGTGAGTACAGTGTCATCTCGTTGTCTGGTCGCCATTTTCTAATCGTTCTCCTAAATACTGATCACACTTCTCTCTGTCTCTTTCTCTCTTTCTCTCTCCTCACCGCTATCTTTCTCTTTTCCTCTACGTCGTACACCACTTTTGTGTGTCTTCTTCTTTTCGATTTCTTACGTTTTTTACTTTTCGCCGCTCTTTTGTTCTTCTGCTAACATCTATGCTCGTACACCGGTGCAACATTGCAGCGCATGCCCAAGTGTTTCAACGTGGCTTCTCGCCTATGAATGCGCAGTATTCTCTGTTCGTGTTCATTCTGTATAGTGTTCTTCTTAACGGCCAAGAGGTTTCACGCTCCGATTCGATGAGCACGATACACGTTGGCACTGGTTGACAGATGATGCTTGACGAAGATATAACAGTTAACGAATTCGAGATGTTCGTCGAATCTATTTTACTTCGAGTGGTTTCGTCGAATGTTAAATAAATGGTTAAATATGAAGTTGGTTTCATCCTGTATGGTTGAAAAAATACAAGAAATAGGATACTATGTAGATTTGGACTTGTAATATTTAGAGCAAACATGTTCTTAACTCTTGTGAAACACGAGAGTGTGAATCATAAATACAATACAGGAAATATTTATTACATCACTCGAATATCAAGCACGTTATCACGTTTACCGCTATTATTATTATTACCAGAAAAATTGATTGAAACAGATATTCGATGCAAATATATGTAGCTCACTATCTTAGCCAAAATAAATTGGATATGAATCATTTTATTAATCATATTGCTATGAGAATTGTTTATAATATTGTACATTATTTTGTAAGGGATGCAATAAATATTTGTTGTACTGTATTCATACGAACGACTAAAGTTTATATATTACATATTCCTTTTTAGTTGCCTTGTGTCTCCCTTCGTTAAATTCTTTCTGACGTGTATAGTAAAAGCTTGATTTACTTTACGAAATTAGTGTGACTTCGACCCGGATCTGGGATCATTCTTATTAGGTACATCTTGCATATTCGTCGGTTAAGATAATATTTTTAAAGCTTGTAATGGATAATGATTAGTTATCGATTATATGTACCAGATATTATTGGAAGCTTATAACACGGTGAAAAATGGTACATACGAACTGTAATCTTTATAATTTCTTACCGCGAAATTTAGAATATAAAAGAAACATCTTTTTGACCACACTACATCATTCTATTAACCCTCTGAGCACGGTCCCTGGGTCACGTGTTCGCGAGAGCGACACGCAACAGTGACAGAGTCAGGAGTGGGAACACGCGGTCTCGAGAGCGACACGCACGCAGTGACGGAGCTGTCGCGTAAAACGTATAGCGACCGATGTTTGTTTACATGCGAATGACCGGGCCAAGACGCTGCAGACGTATTGACTAATAAATATAATTTGTTTTATAATTCGCGAGATTTTTATTCTAGTTAGTGTAATAAGAACCACGAAAATCCAAATATAATGTGGAACCAGCTAATCATTACATTGTATACATGGTGACGGTGGCTTGAGGCCGAGCTCGAGCAACCGTCACTACGTAGTAATATCGGTGAGGGACTCGAGCTCGAGCCATACTGGCATTGTGTTAGTCAGTGTCGGTGAGGGCCACGAGCTCCAGCCTCACCGTCGCTGTGTAGTAGTAGAATATCGGTGTGGAGTCAGAAGTGACATAGGGACCGGTGACCATGCTCCCGTGCTCGGAGGGTTAATATGCTCAAGTTCAAAATCGCCGATTATTCCTGAATACAACTTCTATTTTCATTTGCTGTCTAAGAAGGAGATTCCAACTGCAAAGGATAAAACCAAATTACCCCTTAATTTACTAGTGCCTGCATATATTATTTATTAGAATTTTCACCAAAAACATGTTAATTACTAGACACTGTCTATGAAAGAGCATTCTATTCGTAGAAATTGACGAGTAATTGATTGTCTTGGGAGAATTTTATCTGTCATCAGTCTGTCTACCCGAGTATCAACAGCATATTAGTATATCCGTTCAATAAAATGTTTTGGTCACCGTTCATCACTAACACTGGTTTCTCTCCCTTGAATAGTACTCCGTGAGCCTCGGGGATGAAGCACGCGACAACCACGCCCAGCAGATCGAGAGGGCCGAAATCGCGAATCTGGTACGTTCACGGATGGAGTCCCTGAATTTGCCTGTGGCCGACTACGACGACGTTTCAGAGAAGCGAAACAGTCTGTCCTACGTGATCATCAATCCCAGCTGTGATCTGAAACTAGAGGAGGGTGACATCGTGTATCTGGTCCGGCCGAGTCCGTTCTCCGCTCAGAAGACGTTCGAACGGCACAATTCGCGACGGAAGAGTAACATCAGCTTCTGTTCGGCCCAATTGGTGTCGCAAATGAGCGCGGCGGTCGCGTCGGCGGGTCTACCGGGTGCTGGAGCAGGAAGTCGTCGTGGTTCAGGCATCGGCCTGCCTAGAGCGCCGCCATTGAGCACCACCAAATCGAACTCCTTGTCCCTACCCGATAGTCCAACAGTGGCTGGCTCGTTGCGCGGTCGCTCGAACTCTCTAAGAGTAATTGACGACATTCTGCTCAGGCGTAGTAACTCGTTAAGACAGGGACTATCGACGACCCGGAGAAAAAGTAGTCTGGAGGACATCGGTCTGGGCGTCTTGTCGCATCCATCGAATCACAACCCCATCAAGATCGCGCTGAACGGATCGATCGGTCTCGAAGTGACGCCGCCTGAAGAGGGCTCGCAGATTGTCGGCGTCAGCAACACAGGTATTCTGGACGTTGGCCTGCCGTCCATGCCAGAACTGTCCGCCGCGTTGGGTTCTAACCAGGACACCGGCCTGGGCGGTTCTCTGAGCGGTCTCCACGACTCGCCAGGTCTACCGTGTTCCATAGGATCGCCGTCCCAATCGCCACAGATTCAGGGCGGCACGCAGGATCCTCAACACATACAAGGGACAATCGTATGACGTAACCTTATGTGGGGACGCAGGCTCTCCGGCGTGGCACGTAACAAATGGCTGTAGCGTTCCCACATTACCCGTCAACATCACTCGACAGGACGATGAGCCGTCGAAACTAACGGCGTCCTGACATTCGACGTATTGGTGGGACTGAACGGTGGTGGACGATCAGGGGATACAATGAGGCGGCCGGAGAGCAAGGTGTTTGAAAGTGACACTTCGAAGACGCTCTAACCGAACTGACGGGAGCACGGTGAACAGCTAGACGAAGTCTTTTTAACTCTGTTCCCTGAATAGTTTCAGTTAGCTAAACGCCCTCACTTTATGATTTGCGCAAACTCGGGGACCTAAAACGCAGCGTTCGTATAGTCGCGACTGTGATACGCAGTAATGCTGAATTTATTGATTACCTATGCAGGGTTGGGGTGTTTCTGTGTTGACTAATTTTTGAGAATAATTATTCAAATGAAAATGAAATGAATCTGTCTGAATCAACAGTACCACGAGATTCAGTATGTTTGATAATTCTGTCACATTTTCCTTCTTGATTCGCGTCTATCAAGATTCGGTAAAAGAATATTGAGAGGTCCTTATCAATGATAATCACTGATGTTCTTTCAATGCATTGAAAATATTTTCTAATTGTCGATGGCCTCCTTTAAAATTCATCTCTAAATTAAATAAATACAGGAAGTATAAGATTCCGAATTTCTACTAAATCGGAATAATCTTAATGGACCGAATTTTTCTCACGTGTGTCAAAACAAACATTGAATAATTATGGTAATTATTCACAATAGGGGACTCCTCACCGTTTTGGTTGACCTTGAAATATGTTATCAAGGTCAACATTCTGAACAACTTTTAATTTCTGAGATGATTGACTATGTTGTCAATGTCATCGTCCTAAGTGAGCTTGACCTTGAAAAAATTAGCAGTATGCAATATTTAAGAGAAGATACATATTTGAAATAGCGATCGAAGTAGGTTTAAGACTAGATTCGTTAGCGAGGAAAGGGTTTGGGGGAGGGGCAGCAGCCCATTCCCCAAAACAATAGACGAGTTTTTATATGTTTTTCGGTGTTGGTTTGCCTTCTTTCCTCTCAAATGACTAGTGAATATTTACAGTATTTATGCACTATGAACATATATATGTATGTTATGAAGTAAAAATGTGGGCGTTTACTCAAACGTACATACTTTTCCGAGCGCCCAGTATCCCGCGATACACCACCCAGTGTTAGTCACGCACCCAATATACCACAATCACTGAGTGTTAATTACGTACCCAACATTCCACCAAACAAAAGTTTAGTTAATCATTAATATGTAAAAAAAACAGGAAAAAGTTTCTTTGTTGGACTCCAGAGCACATCGTGTGTCTGTTTGTTGTGTTTGATGACATGTTAAATGCGTGGTTGGCACTGGGTGGTATGTGGTGGGGTGTTGGGTGCCGTTAGGCGATCACTTATGCTAGAATTAGCTGCAGTCGTAACCTAAATTTAACTAAAGTTTTTTGAAAATATCTCGGAAATTAAGACCGATCGGCGGATACATGTATAGGGAAAAATTGTTCAGAATGCTAACCTTGACAACATATATCAAGGTCAACCAAATTGACCAGGAGTCCCCTATTGTTAATAAGTACCATAATTATTTGATTACGGATTACTTTCATCCCAGCTCTGTCGGCGTACAGTTGGTTCATCGAAACTATGATATAGTTTTAGCAGTAATACTCTCTTTCTAGATAATGGAAACACATATTTCCGAGCAACCTGTGTTCGATTCGTTGCCGGACATCGAAAGAGTTTCGTGTTGTTACGAGTTTTGTTTCAAAGTACTCGTTAATCCTTCGCGGTGGGCTTAGTGGGCTGCGTTCTTAAGGGGAGGATCCGGTCTAGAAGTTTAGAAAAATCGAGTTTTTAAATTTAACTTCTTGTAATACCGTGAACGCATGTTTCTCGAAACGACGTTTTCCAAACTGATGAGATAAATAGCTTGAAACACTATTAATCGATACAATTGCGCTTTCTTTATTTGTAAAAATATACGATTCAGGAAGGGGCTAACAACTACCATTTCGAAATTTTCAAAAATTTGTATTTTTTAAATGCGTTTGAAAGTTTGAACAAAAATAGCATAAAAATGATTTTAAATTTGAAGAGTCGCCATTTTGCTAATAGATTTTTCATAGCATTTTTGAAGGTTAACAGCCTAGGCAGTTCTGTACCCTTTAATAATTTTACTTTAGCTCAACAGTTGATACCATCATTTTGAAAGATGTTTTTGAGGCTTGGAATTGAATAACTAACTCCTCAATGCCATCTGCAATATCGAATTAAAAAAATAAAATATAAATTTCTATAGTTTGCAACATTTTTGAAGAAATGCTGAAACTGTCATTAAATTATCTGTTGTAATTTTTCTTGTTGTAATTCCAAAACGTAGCCTATTTTTGTGAACTCTAGACCAGAACTTCCCCTTAGAACGTTTTGCTGTCTAGTTGGCTCTGGCGTCTCAACCTCCGTACATCCAATCAAACATTCGCCGTGATCACAACGATCGCACGAAAAAAGGTGCATTATGAAACCATAATGGTGCATGTCACAGGTCCAGTAACACCATTGGTCAACTTGAGACGAGTAAACTTATTAGAATAACGTAATAAAACTGGTGACAATGGACAAGAGTTTTCATTTTATTTCTATATAATTTTATATAAACTTCAGTATGTACTCCTTTAAACGAGTTTCGTAAATCCAAATTTTTTAGTAATATATTTTTTTCAGTGTTTAACTTCATTCCGAACGGAATCAGTTTGCCGCTCAAAATCATTAAAAAATTAGTCGTACTATGGACACTCGATTATCCTACATCTGTGTTCTTCGTTTTTTAAGGTTCCCTTGCATATAAAACTGAAAATAATTGAAACTGTAAAATCAAAAATCATATTGTTTAAAGAATCAATTAATGGATTATGTAGTACCTAGTCGTTTTTGTACAAATAATTCAGATGAGGTACCCTTGCGCCGTATTAGTAATATATTTCCGAATAATTTCTTTGTTTACGTGGCATTCTTCTGCCTTAAGAACAGAATAAAAAATTAATGGTAAATAGTTATAGTGAGAACACCATTGGTTGCATATTTCTATCGATTTTTTTTTAAATAAACGAATGGACTTAATAACTTACAACTAACGTAGTCGAGATATTGTTCCAATAAACATTTTTTTAGGTTGTTGCATAAAAACTGTCGTTCCTCAGCGCGTGTCGTTTCGACCATTTTAAAATCGATGACAAAAGTATGTCACTCCAGGCGGATACAAAAATAACATTTCTTATGCAATAAGCTAATAAAACTGGCGGGTAATGTTTAAAGGACCTAACAACCCAAAGAATAGATTTGAGCGGTCAATTGATTTTGCATCGACTGCAATCCATAGACATAGAAATATTGAGTGCGTGTCAGGCTAAGCCGATGTCTCAACTTTAGAAAGAGACAAGTTACTTTCGAAGAACTTGCTATCTCTTTCTAATATAGCTGAGCCAACGAGAGATGGCGTGAACTGCTACTTGTGATTCGATCACGTTCGTTCCCAATCACGGTGATTTTTCACAGTGATTCGTTATTTCTCGTGATCGTTTCTGTTTGGTGGAAAAACCTAACAGTTCTTTACACGTGACACATAATCTGTATATTTTATATTAACGACGTCAAAACAAAAATTCGAATTATATCGTATAAAATGAAGGAATAATTAGAAACAATGAAGAATAATGAATAAATTAATGATTATAAATCATAATCTACATGTTACCTAGCAAATCATTCTTTTAGAACTTCTTGTTTTTCTACTGATTTTTACAAACACGAATAGTAATGTAATTCATCGTAAAATCATATTGAATACGTTTTTCTGTTTAAAGATCAAGGACTTATGATCGCAGTGAGCAAATTCACTCAAGATAAAAAAATCGCAATCACGGTCGTGAATGAAGTTAAATCACCGTTATCGATTTTGAACGCCATCTCTAGAATCAACCATTCAAAATGAAAATCGCCAGAACCTCACTCTCCACTACTTACATTTAAAAAAAGATGCCAAATCCTCTGAAAGCTATCTACCTCTTTTTAAACTTGGGGCGCCTACTTCACGGAGATACGCAGTCTACTTCTATGTCTATGCTGCAACTATACAGTAACCAGTAATTTAAAAACGTCTGAAGTTGTATTATTTTGTTATATGTCACGTGAAAATTCTACGACAAAATTAATCAACGAGTTCTTGTCCCTTGTCAATCGTCAGATTTTTGTCGAGATAGCTAACGAGAGTAGGTAAGAAAGAGAAACGTTTCCCTAGTGCAAGTCCCGATTCCTATATATATGTATATAAAATATATATATTTGACCATTTTAATCATATCACGTGAAAACGAGAGAAACACCGATCCAACGGTGAAAATCATTTATGTGTGTATAGAACGAAGAAGATCTTAAACAATGTTTTTAGGATTAACGAATCGAGGTTCCAGGTCTAAACAGAATACCACGAGACTAAATCATGACCTACTATCTAAACAAGTAAGGTCCTATAATACTTAACAAAGCCTGGAAGCTCTCTGTTTCGTCGTTTAAAGTAAAAAAAGAGTCTATGGAAATTGTAGCACGATTGAATGACGAATGATTAATGCGAATGTACCTACTATATTTTCCGTCTCTTCTATTAGTTTAAGACACACCGTTTATTCAGAGGAGTAACTTATTCTTAGCCAATGAGAGAGCAAAGTTTCGACAATCCGTTTAAATCAGTTAGTCAGGCGTCGTATAGGTGACGACTTATTCAAGACATCTATTTATTAACAATGGCGCTTCGAGCCAAAACGCAATCGTTTCTCGACCAATTTACACGTTTTTTCGACCAAACGTTGTCTTATCGCGTACCTGCTTTGATGCTGCTTCCTTTGTGTCAGACTGATTTCACAACTCGATCGGATTTGATGG